TGGCAGCGCTGCCCAAGGCTAAGCAGGGGATCCTCAAAGGGAATGTTGCCCAGGGCATGGAAATGCTTTATGGCTTTTTGGGGTCCAGCATCAGGTCCTGCTCTGACCCCTTTGTGGTCACCCAGAGACAGTGGGATGACCCCAGGGAGCAGGATCAAGACTTAAGCCTTTTTTTTTCGCAGCCCTGGAACCGTTAGCATCTCTGGTTGATGGCTGCTTCCCTAAAGAGCAGGAGCCAAGAGCCAAACACAGGCTCCGTGGGGGGCTCAGCTCAGCTCCCCTCTCTCCCCCAGTGAGCCCAGTTCCCACACCAGCGTGTGTGGGAGACACAGTCTGGGGTAGACAGCCAGGTCCCACCACCCCAGGTGAAGTGGGACCAGTCGCTGGGACGGGGTGACAGCCCCTCTGCTCCCAGCCTGGCACATCCTGGCACATTTATAGCAGCTGCTATAAATAACCGAGATCAAACTCTTTGTGCCTCCGATAGGTAAAAGCAGTTCGGACGCAGCAACAGGTGCTGCCCGGGGCACAAATCGCCCCCGTGGTCCTGTGGGGCTCAGCCCCAGCTCTCCCCAGGACCTGGGTCCCCCCAGAGTCCCTTATTAAAGGTAGACTCTTGCCCCATCAGCTTTCCTGCTAAGAAACCAGTTACTTAAAATGTCTCTGCAAAGCTCTGGTCAGCTATTTATTGCCGCCTTAAATTTTGGACTCCCGGCTAAGCTGGGTAACTCCTCTTTGCTGTGACACACTTGAGCTGTTGCTTTTGGACACACTGCCCATGTCCAACACCTTGGCACACCATGGGTGAGCATCTCACCCCCCCAGTTCAGCATCAGCAATTACCAGCAGGCAACTGGGAGCAGCTCCCTACTCAGGAGTGCATGGCCTTCACTTCGATAGAAATTCAGTTTCCTCTGATATTTTTGCTACTCCGAGGCCACACAAATGAATCAGCCTCCAAAATAAGAGGAGTGCTTTGGAAGCTACCAGAGATGCTGCGTAATAGGTTCTCTATAATCAGGACAGACAGAAGGGTGACAGGGTCCTGTCTGAGACTGCTTGGAGAGCCACCCTGTCCAGAATTGGCACTTCATCCCTGCAGAGAAAATAACCTCCGAGTTCGGAGGGAAGGACTGAGGAAGAAGGGGAAGGACTTTCTTGGCTGCTGTGTGCAGACATGTGGCTGTGGGGGACACAGGGTGGCCGGGGGCCTCCCCCCATCCTACTGACCCATGCAGGTGCTGAGCTCAGCCCATCACCCAGGCTCCAGGGCTCTGCTCCTCCTTTCCCAGGGCATTGCTCTGGGAGAGCATCTGCAAAGCCAGAGTCCCCCCGCCAAGTCCCCCAGAGAGATGCACTTGTTCCCACCCCCTACTCAGGGCTGGGTTGACAAAGACAGGTACGACTGGGGTGTCTCAAGTGAAGACATAGAATCACTAAGGTTGGAAAAGACCTCTAAGATCATCAAGTCCAACCGTCAACCCAACACCCCCATGCCCACTAAACCATGTCCCTAAGCACCTCATCTACATGTCTTTTAAATACCTCCAGGGATGGGGACTCCCCCACTTCCCTGGGCAGCCTGTTCCAAGGCCTGACCACTCTTTCAGTGAGACATGCTGCTCCTGAGAGATCTCAGCTCTACAGATACCCAGGAGACAGCAGTGGGACCCCCCCTGCATATCTGCAATGTTACAGCAAGACCATGGAACGTATCTTGAGGAGCTGCCCTTACCATCTGCAAACCTGCCCTCAAGATTCATCCTTTTAACAGGAGACACTCTGGAAAGACCCCAGAAGAGGCTGATAGGAACACAAGTCCAAGACAAAAGATGACCTGAATGGTCATAAGCAAGTGTAAATCAGCTTCACTCACCAAGAAACAGCGGAGCCAGGTGATGCTCAGCCAAGTGCTCACAGTGCACAGCATGGGGGACTCCCTGCTGCAGGAATTAGTGTAGAAACAAGGAGCTCATGCACCAAAGCCAGCAAGCAGCCAGCACCAGGAAAGCCGGTGCCAGGGAGCCCAGAGCTGGCCCACATGCTTGTAGCTATGAGAAGTTAATGCTGGGGGAGATAAGC